ACCACCATTACTGAAGTTGCCTCCAGTGACACACACATTTATCTCAGCGTCATGTTTTAAAAAGCAGTTTAATGCTAGTGACAAGCGTCAGATTCACAGGCTCTGAATGCAAACCCGCTCTGTATCCTCACGGCAGAGCAATCCGTCCCTGCATGAACTCGATCTCTCGACAGAAGGACTGTGTCCATGCTCGTGCTTGCCCCACCGGGGTACTTCGAGCACTCATGGTAACGATCTTCACCACCATGATGCAAGAGCCATTTTGCTTTCAAATCAAACACGGTGGCACTATCACCTTTCTAACCCTCAACGCAGCTGACAGGGCGTTTCACCTCCGGTCTGCGCTGGATCTGATGGCGGGTCCAGTGACAACCGCCACAGGGGACAAACCCTGCGTGGCTCCCCCGTGGCTGCCCCACGGCGCGGGCTCCCACGTGGCTGTCCCACGGCTGGCTGCGTGTGACGGCCCGGGCTGGGAAACCCCGAGTGTCTGTCTGTGATTCCACGCTCTTCAGATCTTTTTTTTTAAACCTATTTATATAAGGCAACAAGGTGGTGAAGAAGGACAGCATGAGATATACAGTAGTTTCACGTATTAGGGCATCTGCCTGGATACATGCAAGTATGAAAACAAATTTGTGACCGGGTCATGCTTTCACTCAGGCGTATCAGTGAGCTCTTAAAGTGTCTTAATAGCTAATTAAAAACTGTAACTTTGTTGCAGGCAGCCTGCATTATTAAATCGTTAAATAAGCTCTACCTATACCCCGGTGGTTTGTTGCAACTTTAACGGCGGAATTTGTTAAAGGAAGTCTGTGGATTTTTTTCCACTTCTTTTTTTTCCTCAGCAGGTCCTTGAGAGGACGGGTTTCCCCCCGAGGGAGAGCCGCCGGGCTGTTCGGAGCAGGCCGTGACCCCCGCGCCCCCCTGGCGGGACGTGAGCCCACTCTGAGGGGAGCGGGCTGGAACCGGGGCGAATGGCGCCTGCCGCCAGACACACACGCCTAGAGTTAAGAAAGACGCTTAAAAAAGAGGCCGATCGCGTCAGGACTGATGTCACCGCTGCCGGCAAACCCCTTCCAGGGCTCTCGGCACCCCCGGGTTAACCCTGGGGCCCTGGGTAGGGGCC